ACTTACACCTGGTGAGAATAAATACACTCTCCAGAACATGGACAGTTTTGTAACAAAGACTTACACCTGGTTAGAATAAATACACTCTCCAGAACATGGACAGTTTTGTAACAAAGACTTACACCTGGTTAGAATAAATACACTCTCCAGAACATGGACAGTTTTGTAACAAAGACTTACACCTGGTGAGAATAAATACACTCTCCAGAACATGGACAGTTTTGACAAAGCTTACAGCTGGCAGAATAAATACACTCTCCAGAACATGGACAGTTTTGTAACAAAGACTTACACCTGGTTAGAATAAATACACTCTCCAGAACATGGACAGTTTTGAAAACGTTTTTGAATGTCTTCATAATATCTACGCACTGATACATATTGAGCAAGTGGCCCAGCTAACTTCTTTTTGATTTTAGATCGCCTTTGCGTCTTCCTAGGCGATAATGTTAACTGTGCTATTGGGAGGCATGGGACTCACAGACAATGGCCATGGCGAGTGTGACTAGCAAGACCCACTGACGATAAGAAAAGTCTTTCACAATTAGAGCATGGCATTTCAGGACTTTTGTTGCCACAGCTCTACCAGTGTTAATGCTCTTTGTCTCAGACGTTCAGCTCTAAATCTCTCTGCAGTCAGTTTTGCACTAGGTTTGGGGATGTTAACAAGAGAATGGAAGATTGAGCCGTATTGGATTACCACCATACGGTTACAAAGTCATCTGCACTCCAATGGAGGTGGGTAGTTCCGAACAAGATTAAGCGATGCCAACAATATCACGCTGTGCCAACAGTGTCACAATGTGCCAACAATGTCACACTGCCAACAATGTCACACTGTACCAACAATGTCACACCGTACTAACAATGTCACACCGTGCCAACATTGTTACACTGTGCCAACCAACAATGTCAACATTGTCACCTGTACAAACACTGTCACACCGTACACTGTGTCACAATGTGCCAACATGGCACACTGTGCCAACACTGTCACACTGTGCCAAAATGTCACACTGTGCCAACACTGTCACACTGGTCGCCTCAGTTTTTAACATCATTAGCTGGTATCCAATTTAGTCTTTTTCGATCTAGATGGATCATATAACTTTTATTTATAAACCACTCCTTACCATTTTCCCCACCCAATCTCTCTCTCTCTCTCTCTCTCTCTCACCTGTCTCTGTCTGGTCTGTCTCTCTCTCTCTCTCCTCTGTCTCTCTCTCTCTCTCTCTCTCTCTCTCTCTCTCTCTCTCTCTCTCTCTCTCTCTCTCTCTCTCTCTCTGGACTCGAGCACTCGACAGTCATATACGCTAGCTTAAATGCCGCGTTACCTCAGCTCACAAAACTAAATCACTGATCATACACTGTATGGCTTTAAATGAAAACTCGTTAAAGAGGGACCACCCTCAGTTACCTACTGGGCTGTTTCCTGGATTCGTTCCCCTCGGTTCGTGTGTGCGAGGGTGAGCGAAGTCCCCGGTGAGGGTCAGTGTTTGTGAAGTGTCCAAAGTGCAGGTCCCTCTGTTTGACAACCACAAACAAACACGGATCGTTATGTACAGAAACGATCTGCTGGTATCTAAGACAAGAAGTGTTCGCTGCAAATATTTCGTCTGGGCTGTGCGTTTAATGGATAGGTATTTTATATACTTTATATACTGTCTTGTAGTTTTTGTAGTTATTGCATCGCTGTGTTGCGTTCTCTTGTGGAAAAACAGAAAGGGGGTGGGCGGAAAATAGTATCAAATTTATACGAAAGTACCCAGACACACACACACACACACACACACACACACACACACACTCACACCTGTTTATTCCGTCTCTTCGGATCCTTTATATATTCAATCTCTGACTGACTTTTTACCCCACCAGGACATCACACCAAGCGACAAATACCCGGTGACACAAAGTGCTCCCATTCGGATGAGGATCACCCTTGGATAGGTTCCAGAAACCCCGTTCAACCGTTAGGTTATATTAGGGCCTCCCGACAACAACCAGTGTTGGTTCTGAACCTCTATATTTAAATTGCTATATTCTCCCAATTAAACATATATAATCATTGATTTGAATCATTAGTTTAAAGTACGCTCTCATCACTAATTTCAGATAACTGAAATTGATAAATCACTTAACGTGTCTGGATGCCATAGCTAAAGTTGCGTCGGTTATATTTAGATTAATTTTTCTGTAGATTAATTTTTTCTGGTCAGAAAGCGCCTGTGGTACTTGTGACAGTTAAGCACAAATAACAGACAATATTCGGGTAATTGTTGACTAGATTAAGTTGTTTTTCATTAGACGCGTCACAGAATCTGTTATATTGGCAGAAACATTCACATATGTAATCAGTCGTTTTTGCGTCTGGTGGGTTGTTTATCTGTTGCTTTGTGGATTGACTGGCTTGCTCTTTGTTAATTAATTTGGTAGACTGGTTCTGTAATTTGTTACCTGGTTGGGTTGTTGCTTACCCGTAGGCGTATGTCTAATCAATCCAGAAGCTCTCCCTACCAGTTGTGCAAGACGTGGGTAATGACGGATGGGTCGTTTAGCTTAACTTTTTAACTTTTTTTTCGCTTTGATGAATCTATCCAATAATGTGCGTATAACAGTTTCCAGATATATTATCGAGTATGTCGTAGAATTTAATTCTCTTTTATGTTGCGCAAGAAGCAATCAATTCTTATGTGATCCCTTATTTATTGCGTGTTCTATTTATTTCTAGATCACGACTGACGTTTCGGCTAAGGGTATGAGGTGCGGCCAATCTGGCAAATGGTAAGGATATGAAAGACACCATGGGGGATGCCAGGTTTGTTCAGGATTCTGTGACCGGAGTTGTGTTTATCAGAATAGCCGTCCCGGACCTCAAAGTTCAGGTGAGACAGTTTCTTTAATTCATTTATTCTCACATTGTCCATTCATTACAAGTGTCCTGTCTGCATTTTTAAAAATATTTTTCTGTCTCCCCCCCCCCCCCACCCCCCCCCCCCCCAGTATCATGCGCGGGCTCTGGTCCATCACATTTGACCTCTGTTATCAGTTGTTCTTGATGTTATTTCCTATTACACTGCGTGTGTTGTGGTTTGTTCATCACATAGACTCAGTATATATCAAGCGAATCACCATCTTCCTTATCTTATATCTTGATGTACATAGGCTGCTTCGCTTGTCTTGCATTCGTTATATTTAACTTTCGTCAACTTCTCAGTCGACTGCGTTTGTAAAAAGCGGAGAATAAAAACTTAATTAATTAGTTAATTAATTTAATTAATAAAGCTGTGTTGAATATTGATCCTGCCGTTTTTTTTATTAGGTGTTTGTCCCAAATTTGATTATACTTTTACCACTTGTTTCCTACAAAATCAAAGGAATGATAAATTAAAATTATATATATATATATTTGTAAATTGAATGTGTCGCGGTTACAGTTGAATATTCATGTGCACCACTTCCTCGTGTGGGTTTTCGGGGCCCCATTCTGGAGGGAAGGGGGGGGGGGGCAAGAATAGACCCACTGACCCAACACGCATGTTGTAGGAGTTGACTAATAGGGAACTTCCTTCGAGGTCGAAGCTCATCTGCCCGAGCAGCAAGAAACAACTAACTGCACATAAATAAGCCAGTAAAACGGATGTACACGCAGAACTCAGGTCCTGGCACAAAGTCAAAATTTAAAGGGACGAACAGCCTGGACTTTTCACCGGAGCTTACGGCTAGTGAACACAGAAGAAAAAATGCATCACTGTCTTTAGGAACTTCCGTAAATGTGTCAAAGATTCAAGGGGAGATGACGGCAGTCGACTTTCAACACACTTGATGTGTCGCCGTCGGGAAAGATGATCACTGAAATATCTCATGAAGGAGGGATAGAGGAAGACAACGAGAGAAGATGCTTGACAGTCTTGTTGCATCGCATGGAGGTGTGTCGGCACACGAACTGATACATGCTTCAGGAGATCGCAGATTATGGAGAGGCATGATCGCCCACACCAGTCGGCAAGGCACCTGATGATGATGATGATGATGATGATGTCTCGCCATGATTGGTACCCTGACAGACGTCTTTTTTTTTAATCTTCTGGTGCCATCTTCCCATTTCTGTCGCTGTGTAACTCTTGCTCCACTGCCTTTAAACTCGTCTAAAGGTATGATTTTTACGAAAGCGTAAAGTGACCGAAATACTTCTCTACTTTCTATTTCTGTTAGCACTATTCTTCTCTTGCCTTTTTCTATTATCGTCATCATTATCATTATGAAACACGAAGACGTGTCCCTGGAGCGTGGCACCCGAAAATGCCGAACATGTGCTCTAACACTTAACTGTATGCTGACAACAGAAACGCAATCTGGCCTGTTCCAACCACAAAGAAGACGAAACTGTTTGGTACACGAGAAGATATGGACAGCACGATAGCTTTCATAAAGGCTACCGGCCTCCTGATATAAGTTTTCTGACATAAGGATCGAAGAAGAAGAAGAAGAAGAAGAAGAAGAAGAAGAAGAAGAAGAAGAAGAAGAAGAAGAAGAAGAAGAAGAAGAAGAAGAAGAAGAAGAAGAAGAAGAAGAAGAAGAAGAAGAAGAAGAAGAAGAAGAAGAAGAAGAAGAAGAAGAAGAAGAAGAAGAAGAAGAAGAAGAAGAAGAAGAAGAAGAAGAAGAAGAAGAAGATCATAATCATCATCATCATCATTATGAATCCAGTCCAGCACCTTTGATCTCTCACCAACATTCGTCTTGGACATCCTCTCCCCCTCCTCGGTCTATTCATTTCCCATTTCCGTGCCTGTTTAAATATTTTCTGTCATCGTCTCCTCCTGAGGTGCCCAGTATATTGCGTCCTGTCTGTAATCCCAGTTTTTGTTGTCGGCCTAGTGAAGCGCTACCTATCCTTATGTATGTTCACATGTCGATGAACTTGCATGTTTCAACACACACGCGTATCATTCCTGACACTGTCGTGTTTTATAGTCGACTTGCCACTTTGTCTTGTCCAGAAATGCCTGCAGTTTCAACTCGAGCACACGGTGTGGCAGGCCAAACAGAGAGTGCTTGCATCTTTTGCTAAGGTAAGACTGCCAAACTGGTTTATTGATTTGAAACTCCAACTGCATTGACTAGCTCCTGTATGCTGTTTGTTTTTGTTGTGGCTGTGATCTTTATGGAACAGTTTCCATGTGGGTTTCAGGGCCCCCTTGTGTGTGTGTGTGTGTGGGGGGGGGGGGGGTACACCCGTATTTCCTGACAAGCATGCCGTAGAAACCGGGTAGTTAGGCGTGTTAACTACGAGGTCGGACTGCATCTGCATGAGAGGCGAGGGATCAACAGTCTGCGTACAAATAAGTCAGATCTGTAAAACGGATGTGCGCGCAAAATGCAAGATCTAGAACAAGACCAAAGTCCAGAAGTGGAGGAACATCTCAAAACTGTCCCTTGAAGTTTACAGCCGGTGAACGCAAATAATAATTACAGTAGTAGTAGTAGTAGCAGCAGCAGCAGCAGCAGCAGCAGCAGCATCAGTAGTAGTAGTAGTAGTAGTAGTAGTAGTAGTAGTAGTAGTAGTAGTAGTAGTAGTAGTAGTAGTAGTTGTTAGAAGCTAGCAGCAACAGCAGCAGCAGCAGCAGCAGCAGCAGCAGAAGTAGTAGTAGTAGTAGTTGTTAGTAGTTAGCAGCAGCAGCAACAGCAGCAGTAATAATAATAATAGTAGTAGTAGTAGTAGTAGTAGTAGTAGTAGTAGTAGTAGTAGTAGTAGTAGTAGTAGTAGTAGTAGTAGTTGTAGTGGTGGTGGTGGTGATGATGATGGTGATGATAGTAACCGGCTCTCTATTAACTCTGATATTTGGTTATCGTTTCTCACAGACAACAACAAAAAACTACACACAACTTGTCATGTCACCACTATCTTCTGCTCTTGATTGTGTTGGGTATCCAATTACCTTACAACGCAGTCTGCATGATGCCGCCCAGTCCTAACTGCGCTTTGTTTTCTGTGTATTTTCCCTCCCATTTTTGAAATGACTTTCGTTGTGTGTGTGACACAAATAATACGTTATGTTGGATATGTTCTTTATGCATCGTTATTATTATGTTGGGGCTTTTATAGTTTGTTGGCGTTTAGTTTGTTAGCTTTTATCTGTTTGTGATAATATTATATTATGCTTTGCCAGAGAGTAAAATAGTGCGCCTATTGTCTGCTGTGGATTCGGGTTTGTTTGCCAATATTGATAATTAATATATAAAAGCATTAGTATGTATATATGCGTGCTTACGTAAAAGTAAGATAAATGACCCTTTTCCACGCCTTATAAGGGCACATGGGGCTAGACCTATATTAGGTTGACCAAACGGCGCTTGGTGGGTGATGTGGTCATCACGGCTGCTGCCTTTACTTCCCAGGACTGTACCTGGTACTCACTCCAGGGGGAGCTAAGGTCGTTTTAAAACAAAGTCCGGCCTCCCATCAGGACCCGAACCCACGACTTTCCGATCCGCAGGCGAGCTTCTAGCCGCTAGACCACGGCGGCTTCCGCGTGGTTACGCACGTGCGTGTATTTTTGTGTACGTGTGGGAGTGAAATGTTTTGTTGGCAGAACAGTGACGACCGTTGTTATTGATCTAACGACGCGTCTAATGATCGGCTCAATGTTGTGTAGTGAATTATACTAGCAGACAACAATACAAGTGAGACATTTAAAAAACAAAAACAAGTTATGGACGAACAGCAGTCTGTCCGAATGTACAGCTAAGAGTGGAGAAAGGGGGGGGGGGATAGATAAATATGGAGAGAGAGGAGGGAGGGAGAGTGGGGATAGATAAATATGGAGAGAGATGAGAGAGGGAAGGAGATATATCAATTGCAGGTACCTTTCGTTGTATATTGTACACAATTAGACATGCCCACTCCCATTTTTGTTTTTCCACTTCTAATTGCAGGATCTGCGCGACCCTTTAAACTACGGACTGTACCTGCCGCCTGCCAATGGAAGGGCAGGGAAATTTATGGAAGAGGAAAGACTGTTGAGTGAATACCCAATACAGGGACCAATAGGATTTCTGGAGGCAAGTTTTCTTCTTGTCCTTCTATGGTTGCTATTTTAACGTGCATAAATCAACCGATTCTCTGTCATGCTGGGAGGCATTTTGGGCGTATATAGCTTGTCTCAAATTTGTTTCATCAGTCCTACTGGTTCCCAATGGAAACAAGTGAAACAAGGCTGTGTCCGACCGCCGATGCTCTTTGGAATAGCAGTCGATTGGGTCATGCAAACATTGCTACAGAGCAGCAAACAATGCTACAGAACAACAAACATTGCTACAGAGCAACAAACATTGCTACAGAGCAGCAAACATTGCTACAGAGCAGCAAACAATGCTACAGAGCAGCAAACATTGCTACAGAGCAGCAAACAATGCTACAGAGCAGCAAACAATGCTACAGAGCAGCAAACAATGCTACAGAGCAGCAAACATTGCTACAGAGCAGCAAACATTGCTGCAGAGCAGCAAACAATGCTACAGAGCAGCAAACAATGCTACAGAGCAGCAAACATTGCTACAGAGCAGCAAACAATGCTACAGAGCAGCAAACAATGCTATAGAGCAGCAAACATTGCTACAGAGCAGCAAACAATGCTACAGAGCAGCAAACAATGCTACAGAGCAGCAAACATTGCTTCAGAGGTCACAGGTAGTTGCGTTCTTTAGATATTTTCTCCAGGGTATGCTGGAGTGTTAGGAAATGAACATGTAGACAAACTGACTGGTTCTGCACCATTGGCTGGTGGATTTATACATGGCAATCTAAATTTGCTCAAGGTCCTTTAGGAGCAAGTAAACAATTCTGATGCATGAATCAATCATTATGGTCTGGAGAGAATGTTATTGCGAGGATTGTCCAGGGGATCAGGTCGAGGATTGACCAAGAGATCAGGTTGAGGATTGACCAGGGGATCAGGTCGAGGATTGACCAGGGGATCAGGTCGAGGATTGACCAGGGGATCAGGTCGAGGATTGACCAGGGGATCAGGTCGAGGATTGACCAGGGGATCAGGTCGAGGATTGACCAGGGGATCAGGACAAGGATTGACCAGGGGATCAGGTCGAGGATTGACCAGGGGATCGGGTCAAGGATTGACCATAGGATTGGGACGAGAATTGGCTAAGGGATCGGGTCGACACTCTAGACTCAGAGAAAAAGCAAGAAAGACATATAATCAAACTGTTACTGGCACCATCGCAATTATAACTCTTTGCTGGCTGCTGAAGGTGAGGACAGAGCGTTTATGTGAGTACCCCGAGTGTTGTGATGGTGGTTCCTTGCTCAACGGTCAACACTTGAATTGACTTGACTAGACTACTAATATAATTATAGTGTCAGCCATCTTTTGTGCCGCTTAATATACAAAACTCTTTCAATTCTAGAAAACTACATTACTGTCAAATTTGAACATAGAGGAAGTGATATCTGTGAAAGCCAGATTTGTTTAGGATGTTTGACCAAATGTATTTAACAAAAAAAAATATGCGAACAAATGATTGTTGTTGGCATTCTTGAGGTAGATTCATTGTTGATTTGGGTAAGATGAGTTCTGCATGAATATTGTGATACATTTTGTTGTTGTTCCTTTCATTCAGTTCAAGTACAAGAGGCGTGTTTACAAATTGATGCTGGTAAATGAGAGAAAGATGAAACAGATTCACTCTAAGGTTAGTCACAGTATAACATCATTCTTCTTCTTTGCGTTCACCAGCTGTACACTCTGGCGGAAAGTTCTGGTTGCTCGTCCACTACTGAACTGCAGTCCTGCTCCAGAACCTGAGTGTTGCGTGTGCATCAGTTTTACAGGACTCATTCTCTTGAATACAGATTGTTGGTTCCTTGCCTCTCCAGCAGATGCACTCCGTCTTCAAAGGAAGCTCCCCAATTAGTCGACTCTTACGACATGCTTTTGGGGAGGCAGTGGGTCTATTCTTGTTTTCCCCACAATGGGGCCCTGGAACCCACACAGGGGAATATATATATAACATCATTGATGAAACACAATTTTATATTTACTCTTAGCACTTTGAGTACTGTCAACTGGAGGGTCTCTATGTCAAAGTAGTCATACTGTTTGCCCCCTGCTCTGAAGGTCCTGGGTTTGTTTCATGACTGCATTGTTTAGTTTTTACAGACCCTGGTTTTTTGCAATGCTCTCTGCAGGTGGCTAGTCATTCTGTGAAGAGAGACTGAGCCACGTGGGATAAAACCCAGTGCAATGAAGTCGATCCACTCAACTGTAACTTTTATTACTGGCATCATTAAAGCTGCGGTGGTGTAACGGATAGATTCTTACATGCTGATCTAAAGGTCGTGTGATCAAATCCGCATGGTGCCGGATGTTTTTCAAATATGATCTTGGCTCCCAGGTCGACCTGGCCTTAAATGGATGCCAGGTAAAGTCCTGGGAAGTAAAGGCAACCGCCGTGATGTTGACCGCATCATCCATCAAGCGCCAGTTGGTATTAAAAGTATGAATCTAGCCTCATATACTTGATGTGTCAGTGACATGTAAAGGGATGGTTCCGGTATGATTCATCATGTCCTGCCATCATGTCCCGCCATCATGTCCTGCCATCATGTCCTGCCATCATGTCCTGCCATCATGTCCTGCCATCATGTCCTGCCATCATGTCCTGCCATCATGTCCTGCCATCATGTCCTGCCATCACGTCCTGCCATCACATCCTGCCATTATGTCCTGCTATCATGTCCTGCCATCGCGTCCTGCCATCATGTCCTGCCATCATGTCCTGCCATCATGTCCTGCCATCATGTCCTGCCATCATGTCCTGCCATCACGTCCTGCCATCATGTTCCACCATCACGTCCTGCCATCATGTCCTGCCATCACGCCCTGCCATCACGTCCTGCCATCACGTCCTGCCATCATGTTCTGCCATTATGTCCTGCCATCACGTCCTGCCATCATGTCCTGTCATCATGTCCTGCCATCATGTCCTGCCATCATGTCCTGCCATCATGTCCTGCCATCATGTCCTGCCATCATGTCCTGCCATCATGTCCTGCCATCATGTCCTGCCATCATGTCCTGCCATCATATCCTGCCATCACTGTTTTATGGTGAGTATACTAAGCTACAGATCCGTGTTCTATCATGAGGTATATCAGAAATATGATCCTGGTGTCACTTTACTAAGTGTATTCAGCACTTGATGGGTGATATTATCAGTATCAAATAGGCCGCCTTTACTTCCAGGAAATGTCAGGGTTTAACATTTAGACTGGGCCGTCAACACACATAGACACACCCACCTGCACGCATGCACACTCACACACACACACACACACACACACACACACACACATATATATATATATATATATATATATATATATATATATATATATATATATATATATAAATATACACACACACATTTATATACACACATACACTTAAGTAAGAAATACCACTGGTCAAATGAATTATTAATCTTGTAAATTGTTCCTACTATTTCTCAAATCTAGACCAAACTGAAAACGTTTATGGAGCTGGTTCGTAATGGAAACACCCAGAAGCTCAACAAACTGACCTTGAAGGGGCTAGACCCCAACTTTCATGACCAGGACAATGGAGGTAAATGTGTATTCAGACTTCATACATGTTTGTGCCTACACCAGCTGCTGGCATCATGGAGATAACAATCATTTATACTTAGTTATTATTTTCTTTTATTTTTTTTTTAAATGTGAAAGTGTGAAAATATTGTCAACGCGGTGTAGTGCAAAAGTAAGTAAAAAGTAAGTAAAGTTCCCTTTTCACGCCTTTCGGCGCATCGGACATATGGGCAGAGCGTCCCATATTTTTACAGACCATCAGCACTCTGTGGGTAATGTGGTCAGCATTACGCCGGCTGTCTTTACTTTCCCAGGACATCCTATCCTGGTACCAATTTTAGGATGGGTCGACCTGCGACGTCCCATACCACGACAAAAATCCACGCAGCCTGCAGTGGGTTTCGATCGCGGTATACTGGCTTACGAGTCGGACTCGCAACGCCTTAGCCACGGACGCCGCTACAGCAAAAGTAGAGTAGAGAAAAAGAACATGTAGGAAATACTAGGTAAGAGAAACAAAGGCAAATGATCATGGCAAGTGTAAACAGCTGAGCAAGAAATAGAAAAGATGTGCACCTCTTCAAGAAAATATCAGATGACAGAGAGAGCGCTGCAAAGTCATAATCATCGATATCTGTTACAGGTAAAGTGTCTGCAGAAGATAAAGTTGTTCATTGTTATCCCTGCGGGGGGTTCCAGGTCCCATTTTGGAGAAAACAAGAATAGACCTACTGTCTTTCCAACAAGCATGTCGTAGGATTCGACTAAATGGGTGCTTCCTTTGAAGTCAGACTGCATCTGCTCGAGCAGCAAGGAACAACCAGCTGCATACAAATAAGTTAGTAAAACGGATGTACAAGGAAGAATCAGACCCTGGCACAAAACCAAAGTTCAGGTAGATAAATAATCAGGACTTTCTGCTGGAGCTTACAGCCAGGGAACAAAGAAGAAGAGTTCATTGTTTTTACTCTGGTAACTCTGAAACTGCCACGCTGAGAAAGATATTTGTCCAGCATTTATATTTTATCTAATGACATGAAGTTTTTGGGCAGTCACCACTACTCCTTTATAACAACAGATTTGGTACTCTCTGTAACTGCTTAATGTTTAGACATGGTGGATTTGACTATATATGCCCCAAGAAATTTTGATATTTTTGGGGGTATAGAAAATTATAGTCTGTTTTAAAATGCTGACATTATCATTATGTCATAATAACCTCATAATGATAGAGCTTTGCTCCAGACAGCTATGTTAATAAAACCACTTGTTTCGTGGTCAAAGGAATGGAAAACAGTTAAATCTTTGTTCCATTTATATTTAATGATTAGTTCCCTGATTAAAAAAAAAAAAAATCTACTGAAAAGATAATAAGAAAGTTAACTAGAATTACTTTAAAGATTTGATGTTTGCATTAAAGCTATAGACTTCACGCTTGCCTGTCTGCTTGGTGGTCTAAGGTTTAAACCCCCTTGGTGTTGATAAAAGCTGATCAGCACTTCACATTCCTTCTGCTTCCTGTTCTCTTCCTCTCGTTCCTTAATGCAGGTCTGTGGCATAGGCGTTGCAAACACACTTTGTAATGCTGGGGTGCCAGGTTCAATCCCAGTTGCTGACGGTTTGGTTTGTCTTGCATTGGTTTCGACAGTGTTACCAAATGCTGATCGTCCAGAAAGCAATGGCAAACTACTAGATGTAAATGTGTCTAGAAAAACCACAACAGCCAAAAAATGTTGGGGTTGGTTCTGCAATGTCCTGTAAAGGATATAGAACTAACTTTTAGAATTTCTTTTGAGTGAAAAACTTATTATTTAAGAATAGGCTTGTTACTGGTAATCAGAGTCAATAAAATGTGTAGGAATGAAGTCGGTTTAGTAAGTTTGTCCCTATCCATCATTATACTATCATTTCCATGAAGATTGAGTTGCAAAGCTCACTTTCTCCTGTCCAAACTCAAAAACCAGTTGGGTGTGCAAGACTGGTACTGAAACTTCACATTATAATGTAGCAAGGTTATGGTACAGAACATCACATCACATAAAACTAGATGGGACTGGTACTGAAACTTCACATTATAATGTAGCCAGGTTACGGTTCAGAACATCACATCACATAAAACTAGATGGGACTGGTACTAAAACTTCACATTATAATGTAGCCAGGGTACAGTTCAGAACATCACATCACTTAAAACTAGATGGGACTGGTGCTGTAACTTCACATTATAATGTAGCCAGGTTACTGTTCAGAACATCACATCACTTAAAACTAGATGGGATTACATCTACATTGGTCAGGTTTTCTCCACATCTTTCAAGTATTTCATTGCCATCAGACTTCAACACCCAACCCTGAATGCGAAGAAGGAAAAAAAAGAAGAAAAAGTGGAAGAGGAAGAAGAAGAAGAAGAAAGAGAAGGAGAAAATGTAACAGTGCATTATTATATATATAGTTTAGTGAATGCATTTCACAGTTTCACAATCCTTGATGTACTAAGGTTTAATTCCTGAAGCAGACATAAAAAAAAAAATCAAAGGTATTGTTTTCCTGGTGTGCAGGCAGTGTATGAGAGTTGCACTGGGGAAGAGATTATGGCCTCATCCCTTGATATTCACAAAGGCAGCGGTAGTACACTGTAGCCAACCATCATTATGGAGATGGCACACCAGTTATTTTTAAAATTCTGAATGCCATGTCACAGTTAAGAAGACTGAGGGGTTACAGACAGATGTGAACAGTGGCAATATGAAATGGAAAGTGATTAATTAAAAAAAAAGGCAAATACTATATGTTTCATGACGTGCATGACTCCCTTCCCACATGATGTTGATGATTCTGGTTATCCATGCTTTGCTTTTTATCCTTGTAGAAACTCCACTGACTGTAGCTGTGACCTTGGGGAGGTCAAAATGTCGTGAGGTCATCATTGGTCTAGTCAGCGGAGGAGCTCACCTTGACTACAGAAATAGACAGGGGATGACGGCGCTGCACCGGGCAGCCATTGTTGGAAACGCCGAGGCAATCAGGGTAATCACTGATTTCTTTCAAGTCTTTATATATATATCCCCGTGTGGGTTCCATTGCGGAGAAAACAAGAACAGACTCCCTGTCTCCCCAACAAGCATGTCATAGAAGTCAACTAATTGAGGACTTCCTTTAAAGTCAGAGTATGTGTGCCTCAGATGAAGGAACTAAGAGTCTGCATACAAAAAAGCCAGATTTGTGAAAGGGATGTGCACTCAACACTCAGTTTCTGAAACAGTACTAAAGTATGGAGGTGGAGGAATACTCAGAATTTTCTGCCAGAGTGTACAGCGAGCATACGAGAAGAAGAAGAAAACTTCTGTTTTATGTTTGCAGGACTATGTGTCAGTTCATCTGTTGCTGCTGTCCCAACCAGCATGAAAACCTCTCATTTTCTTGCTTATTCTTGTCTCATGTATTTTTATGCGCCCAGTCAGTCAATCAGGTGCCATCTGCACAATACAGGTTGACTGCAACAGATCTCAAAGATGTCTTTCTGCTTTCAAGGTGGCGAGGTGCAGCTATGTGATTTATTGCTGGCTATGATTTCTCTCAGAGAGTTCTGTTTCCCCTGGCATGGACTGCTAGTTGTGCATGTCTCCAGTGAAGAAAACATTTGTGTGTGTGTGTGTGTGTGGGTAGTGTATTTTGTGGCTGTGCTGTATCAGGGGCAGGGGGGATGAGGACTAATATCTTTTGCAGCCTCAAACACACTGTTATCACAATGTTTCCTGGACTTGGCATCCACATGAGGATGAGGTTTACCTTTTAACGTCGCTGAAATGATTCACATGTCTTTTTTTTTATTTTTCTTTCAGTGACGCAGATTACATTCCTAGTCTCTTCACAACCTCTGTCTCTCTATTTGATTGCTTTTGTTTCAATAAAATACGACTTATTCTTCTGTGTATCCACATCTCCAGAGACTATACAATTTTCACATTGCTTATTCTTTGAAAAGGTTTCTCTACCACACAGCAGGGTTGAGTATACATAACATTTGACAGTTCTCATTTTTAATGTATTGTTTATCTCTCTAGCAGTCAGCAATTGTTGCATACTGTTACAAATAGTTTTACCAATTCCTTTTTTAATTTTGATTTCAGAAACTTGCAACTTGTCTAATGAATTTTTTTTTTTTTTACTATGATGTTTACTAATGGCCACTCTTTTCCATTGTTAACTAGTATGCTTTACATTTCTAATATGTCCTTGACCTATACCCTTTGGTCAGCCTTCATACTGTTTGTTGCCTCCAGCTGTTCCCATGTTTCGTGGCCCCAAAACCTTTCTTTCAAAGTCTGTTGCGTCTAATATGGCCACAGTATTTCAGTTGCCAGTAAATAATTCTGTTTATGAGTGATTGGCTTTGTTGTTCTTTAGTGTTGAGATCTTTAGGACCATCTTAGCATTTGTTTTTGCTCACTTTTTCTTCTTTTGCCTATTCAGTATTCAGGTCATCTGACATTGTTACAAGCTTGTTAGTTTTATATTAAAGGGTGGAACCAAGAAAGTTACTGATATATGGCATAGCTGAAACTTGAAAAAAAAAGATTTTAAGCCACTCGAAAAGTGCAAGAAAAATATGAAAATAACATGAACTGGACTACAATCTGTTAACAGCGTCATAACAAAAGAAAAAAAAAAAAAAAGAAAATTCAAACCTGTTTCCTTCTTGCCTGTGTTTCCTTCAAATATTTTCTTTTTCTTCATATTCACCTGCTGAAACTCCAGTGAAAAGTTGTGGTTGCTCATTTACTTCAATACTTTAGTCTTGTTACAGAACTTAAGTCTTCCATGCACATTCATTTGACAGATCTGGCTTTTTTGAATGCAAACTATTGAATCCTTGCCTCTCAGGCAGATGCACTCCAACTTTGAAAAAAACATACCTAATTTGTCATCTTTTAATCGGTGGCAGTTGATTTCCCCCAATGGGACATGAGAACCCACAGAGGGAAAAATACTGTTTTCATTTATCTCACTGTTTTATGTCTGCCCACAGACCATGTTGGACCTCGGTGCCTCCCCCAACTGCAAAGATGCCCGTGACTTAACTCCCCTCTACTACAGCGTTTCCAACGATGATGCTCTTCAGGAGTGTACGTATATGCTGCTGCATGAAAGAGCTCGTATCGGAGTTTGTGATGAGCAGGGCTGGTACGAAATACATCAGGTACGTTTGCTATATTTTCGTCAATATCTTTTTTGTGAATTATTGCATTTCTGATCGTAAAGCAAGTCATTAGTACTTTCTGATTATACTGTTAACATGTTTTTTCAATACATAATCCAATCCAGCAATTGCATTTTTTCCTGACCACTTGTTTCATTAGAGTTTGTTTAATTCTCTCTCAAGGCTCCAACATTAAGGATTTGGTTATACCGTTTTATTTCTTCTGTACTGTGCAAGCACCAGTTAAATAATGTGTGTAGTTTGCTATCATTAGTTTTCGTAATTTTCTTATGTAATTGTTTTAGAAATTGTCTTTGCTTGTGATCTGTACTGTGCAAGCACCAGTTAAATAATGTGTGTAGTTTGCTATCAGTAGTTTTCGTAATTTTCTTATGTAATTGTTTTAGAAATTGTCTTTGCTTGTGATCTGTACTGTGCAAGCACCAGTTAAATAATGTGTGTAGTTTGCTATCAGTAGTTTTAGTAATTTTCTTATGTAATTGTTTTAGAAATTGTCTTTGCTTGTGATCTGTACTGTGCAAGCACCAGTTAAATAATGTGTGTAGTTTGCTATCAGTAGTTTTAGTAATTTTCTTATGTAATTGTTTTAAAAATTGTCTTTGCTTGTGATCTGTACTGTGCAAGCACCAGTTAAATAATGTGTGTAGTTTGCTATCAGTAGTTTTCGTAATTTTCTTATGTAATTGTTTTAGAAATTGTCTTTGCTTGTGATCTGTACTGTGCAAGCACCAGTTAAATAATGTGTGTAGTTTGCTATCAGTAGTTTTAGTAATTTTCTTATGTAATTGTTTTAGAAATTGTCTTTGCTTGTGATCTGTACTGTGCAAGCACCAGTTAAATAATGTGTGTAGTTTGCTATCAGTAGTTTTAGTAATTTTCTTATGTAATTGTTTTAGAAATTGTCTTTGCTTGTGATCTGTACTGTGCAAGCACCAGTTAAATAATGTGTGTAGTTTGCTATCATTAGTTTTAGTAATTTTCTTATGTAATTGTTTTAGAAATTGTCTTTGCTTGTGATCTGTACTGTGGTGCTGATTTGATATTAGAGTTAGCTTTTTTAAAATTTGGTACAAAATGTTATTTCCTTTGACTTCCACGTGTTTTCAGTTGCAGTGAAAGTGCATCTTGCTTTTTATATTTTCCTTTTAATATTTCTCTCTGTTCCTCCATGTTTATTTACATTGCTACTTAATTAGGTTTATGATTTCAGTTCTGGAAGTGGCACCACTGGATATCAGGCTATTTTGTCTCTTTTGTCGTGTCTTTATCCTATCTAAATTTGTATATAATCTTACCTGTATGTGATTTCCTCTTTCCTTCACAGGCCTGTAAGTATGGTCGAGTCCAACATCTGGAGCACCTGGTATTCTACGGAGCAGACATGGATGTCAGAAACTCTTGTGGCAACACTCCCTTGCACATCTGTGCTCTCAACAATCAAGAGGCTTGTACACGTCTGCTGCTGTTTCGTGGTGCTGATGTCACTTTGTGCAACTACAACAACCAGACGGCAAGCCAGGTGGCAGCCTTGGCAGGAAACTCCACGATTGCTGCCATGATTAATGCTCACAATCCAGATGATGTGGGTGAGTGTCAGTTATGATGTGCTATGCCGATGTGTGCAGGCAATCATGTTCCTTCACAAACTTGTATCCTTTAAGTTCTTGATAAGTTTAGATCCTAGCATTTTCTATCTCTTTATCAGCCTATCTATAACAGTCTTGAACTTCATGGCTTTCTCAGTCATCTACAGGTATAACACTCTTAAACTTCATGGCTTTCTCAGTCATCTTCAGGTATAACACTCTTGAACTTCATGGCTTTCACAGTCATTTACAGGTATAACACTCTTGAACTTCATGGCTTTCACAGTCACCTACAGGTATAACACTCTTGAACTTCATGGCTTTCACAGTCACCTACAGGTATAACACTCTTGAACTTCAAGGCTTTCACAGTCATCTACAGGTATAACACTCTTGAACTTCATGGCTTTCACAGTCACGTACAGGTATAACACTCTTGAACTTCAAGGCTTTCACAGTCATCTACAGGTATAACACTCTTGAACTTCATGGCTTTCACAGTCACCTACAGGTATAACACTCTTGAACTTCATGGCTTTCACAGTCACCTACAGGTATAACACTCTTGAACATCAAGGCTTTCACAGTCACCTACAGGTATAACACTCTTGAACTTCATGGCTTTCTCAGTCACCTACAGGTATAACACTCTTGAACTTCATGGCTTTCACAGTCATCTACAGGTATAACACTCTTAAACTTCATGGCTTTCACAGTCATCTACAGGTTTAACACTCTTGAACTTCACAGCTTTCACGGTCATCTACAGGTTTTTCTCATCACTTCAGCATCATGTGAAACAAAAAATAACCCTTTTCTACGCCTTTATTTGACTAGGCATATAGGGCTAGACCTGTGCTTTATAGACCAGTCAGCACTTGGTGAGTGATGTTTCAGCATCGCACCAGATCAGCTTTATGTGCCACACCAATAAATGTGGGCTGTCATTGTTCATCCTCTCACATGTACACAACATTCTTGAATCAGGTACTTTTGCCCTAGAAAAGTGGTTGGCCAAGTGAATAGAGCACTCAGGTATCATGGGGAAACCTGGGCTCAATCCTCAGTTACAGATAAAGATTTATTTTCTGTCACTGACAAAAATTAAAATCCTAACCTTTATAGTTTAAGGCAACTGCACCAACCATGAAGCCGTAAATCTTTAGTCTCATATTGTTCCTATCTTGCACCCCCACCTCCCTTTCTGCATCCCTCCTCAACGGTATACAAAGGCAATAAAGTTTGTTGTTGTTGTTGTTAAGACCCTTGCCTTGATTATACCAAATCTGGTTCGTGTCATGCCCTTTCACTTTATTTCACAGGATATTAACTTTTATTAAATGACCTAATTAAGATCGTCTAATAAACAGCATCTTGTCTTGGAAGCTGACAATTTTTGGTCATATCAAGCACCATGGTGGATTGGAAAAAGTAACAGCAGAAGGCATGGTACCAGGAAGGAGGGGCAAGGGGCCGACCAGCCCAAAGATGGACACTAGATATAAGCCACTCCATGGATATGAAAGTACATGAATTGGGAGAGCTGAGAGAGACCGAGTTTTCTTCAGGCAGAGAGTGACGTCTCCAAAGGACCTGCTATATGATGATGATGATGAATTAACTGTTTACCTTAATTAACTAACTAGCTTGTTAACATACCTGATTAATCTCTACTTTACATATCATCTATCACTCTATTGTTTCTAATTTTTTTAAATTTTCAGTTCCATACAGAGAGATCCCTCAGTACAGTGATCGCAGAAAAGGCGCATCACTGACTCCATCTCTAAGAGCATTACTGAGAAGCCGCAGTGATCCTCGGATAAATGTGGTTGGTCTAGATAGTCGGTCCACATCCACAGCCTCGTCTCCTTTTGGTGGAGTGGTCCGCCATCGCCGCATGGGAGCTGACTCTGATTCGGCTTGTTCCATTAGTGTGGCCAGCTCCGGATCTGGTGAGTATGGTCACGTGTGTGCAATTTTGGAGTTCTTCTTCTTCTTTATTATTATTATTCTTCTACTTTATGTTCACCAAGTGAAGACTACAGATGAAAAGTTTATCATTTACTTCTGGACTTCAGACTTGTTCCAGAACTTGAGTTGTGCGTGTTTATCCATTTTACAGATCTTGCTTATTTATATGCAGACTTTTGGTTCCTTGCCTCTCATGCAGATGCAATCCAGCTTTGCATGAAACACTTAATTAGTTGACTTTTGAGATATGCTTGTTAAGGAGGCAATGGGTTCCCCCCCCCCCCCCCCAGAACCCACAATGGGAATTATGTATCGATTCCAGCAAAGGTCATGAAGGTCAGGACCCCGTCTCTGAAGTCAGTGGCATGTCAAGGTCAGGTGGTACTGGTGCAGAAATGTTCCTGCAGCCTGCACCCCCTTTCCTATGCCACTGCCCTTAAGTCGTCCCCTGACCCCTGCCATGTGTTTTCTAGGATTGCTCCTGTGAGCCAGATTTCCATTTGTTGCAGGCAATGACAGAAATGCCATGAATCTTGTTAGATGTGCCTTGGAGTCGGCTTCGTAGGTGTGCAAATGTAAATGTTGGAGTTTCATGATGTTTCCTGAATCCATACATTTCTTGAAGATCTTGGCTTGCTGGTTTCTGCATACTTTATTAATGTTATCCTTCTCTGGACTGTAATATTTATTTTGTTTTTGCCAATTTTTCTAAAGACAAGATAATTTTGCAGAAGAATGGTATGTTGTCCTCTTTATTCCTGAAGATGACATGCAATTTATCATGTAATAAGTGACTTTCAGTGAATGAGAGAAAGAGAGAGAGCGAGAGAGAGAGAGAGAGAGAGAGAGAGAGAGAGAGAGAGAGAGAGAGAGAGAGAGAGAGAGAGAGAGAGAGAGAGAGAGAGAGAGAGAGAGAGAGAGAGAGAGAGAGAGAGAGAGAGAGAGAGAGAGATGGCAGAGGATCTTGGAATATGAGCAAACAACTAGAAAAAGCTTGAAGGCGGTGGAGCTGTAGTTACTGAGACAAATGTTGAAGAACAGCGGTAACTAGTGATTGCCTAATAAAAGTAGACCACATACTGTGATTTAAAAGAAGGAAATAAAATTAGAAGCAAACATTATTCTTTGGTCATTTGATGAACAGAGAGACACTAGTGAAAACTGTATTGACTGTAAAGGTCAGCAGTAAAATAGGCACATTGCTATGAAGCCGGCGGCGTCCGTGGCTAAGGCATTGCGAGTCCGACTCGTAAGCCAGCATACCACGATCGAAACCCACTGCAGGCTGCGTAGATTTTTATCGTGGTATGGGACGTCGCAGGTCGACCCAGCCTAAAATGGGTACCAGGATGGGCTGTCCTGGGAAAGTAAAGACAGCCGGCGTAATGCTGACCACATTACCCACAGAGTGCTGATGGTCTGTAAAAATATGGGACGCTCTGCCCATATGCCCGATGCGCCGAAAGGCGTGAAAAGGGATCTTTACTTTTTTTTTTTTTTTTTATTGCTATGAAGCCATCTATACACAAGTAAATGGCGTTGTCACAATTGATCAATGATTGGTTGTTCTTTCTGGTATCATTATCATGTGCTCTCCGTGTGGGTCCCAGATCCCTATTATAGGGAAAACAAGAATAGATTCACTGCCTACCCAAAAATATATTGTAAGAGTCGACTAATTGGGAGCTTCCTTTGAAGTCGGAGTGCATTTGCCTGAGAGGCAAGGAACCAGCAGTCTGCATGCAAATGAGTCAGATCTGTAAAATGGATGCATATGCAAAACTCAGGTTCTGGAACAGGACTGCAGTCCAGAAGTGGACGAACAACCAGAACTTTAAGCCAGAGTTTACAGTTGGTGAACGCAAAGAAAAAAAAAGATTATCATGTGCTACACCAACTGAGGTGGGTGATCATATGTAACCACAGCTTCTGTTTACTGGCAATTTGTTTTTTCTTGTGTGAATATATTCTCCTGGCTGTGATACAAGATGACCAAGAATCCTCCTCAATCTTGCCCCCCCCTTTTTTGTTTGAATATATTCTGTCTTTCTGTGATCTTCCCTTTTTCAACCCCCCCCTCCCCCCCTCTTCTTCTGTCTCCTCTCTCTCTCCTCTCCTTCTCTCCTTTTCTCTCTCCCTCCTGCTTCTTCCTCAGCTCGTTCTCCTCTCTTTCTCACCCTCCTCTCTCTCTCTCTCTCCATCCCTCTCCCCCCCATCTCCCCTCGGTCTCCTCTTCTGTTCTGTCTCTCTGTGCTTCCTCTTTCTCTCTGCCTTCTTTTTTTGTCTCTCTCTCTTTCTCTCTCTTTCTCTCTCTCTCTCTCTCTCTCTCTCTCTCTCTCTCTCTCTCTCTCTCTCTCTCTATTCTCTCTCTCTCTCTCCTCTCTCTCTCTCTCTCTCTCTCTCTCTCTCTCTCTCCTGTTTGCCCCACTCTTGTCTATCAATCAATCTCAACAAATGTTACAAAATGATCCAACTCATTTCATTTCATTCTGTTGTACCCAGTTAGTTTTGATTCTGTCTGGGTGTGTTAGAAAACATTACAGTAACTTGTTTGAGCTTTCCCATATGGGTTCCTTAGCCATATTTTGGGAAAAACAAAAATAAATCTGCTGGTAACCCTTTCCACTGATTGGGGGGGGGGGGGGGGGGGGGGGGGGGGGGGGGAAGCGTTATTTGTTACATTCTGCCAGCTATCTCATAGCTATCCCTTTTATAGTGGATGTCAGAGTGAATGCTTACAGCTTAAAAAAAAAACTTGAAAACTACTAATTTACCCCTTTTAAACTACAAAAATAACTTACATTTAACCGAAACTGAAATTCTCCACCCCACTTACCCAGGACAAGCAATTGTCACCACTATGGTAAAACGACCGGTGACATATTTCCCATCCTCTGCTCGAGGACTCATGCTGGTTTCCGGGTCTTCAGCTTACGTCTGCACAAAATCTTACATGGCTCAGGCACTTGGAGAACTCTCCTTGAAAAGAGGAGAGATTGTTGAAGGTTACTGAATGCTACCAATTTCCCAGCATGCTCACTTTTATTTACAAGTTTACCTGCAGCATGAACTAATTGATACTGGTGTTATGAAACAACCTAGAAAGAATTCTTGGATATTTTTCTTTTTGTACCTTCTTTCAAATATATAGTGATTTCTCTTTTTCCCTGGGGTGTATTACACATCTTTGACCCCTATTTTCACAAAATATCTGCCAAACCACATAAACTGAATCCTGACCTGGTTGCATCCTCATTTATTAGTCTACATATGTAAATTCCAGTACCTGTCTCAACCCATCTGTTGGGTATTTGGTTTGGAGAGAAAACAGGAAGTTTTATAACATAGTTCCCATGGAGTACCCTACTGGGAGAGAAACCTCTAGACTGCTTTCTCCATTACCATACCTATTTTAAGGCCTAGATAACCTAAAAGCAAAGGCACTGGGCTATAGTTGAAGCTCTATCTTCTGGCACCCAACCAGTCAATTGTTAGCTCAATTCTGCAACCAGAATTAGAATCAGTAACCAGGTGTTACTGAGAGAAATAATTATGTATATCCTCCTAGGGAAACTGAAGCCAAACCACAGCACAAACTACCTCAACAGACAACCTTAATGCCCTTCTGCTCTTTCTCAGAGTCAATAAACTAAAGTCTGTACAGTCCGCTCAGTGGGATCACAAACAACTCAGAACATTCTGCAGGCCTGCTCACTCTACCTACAACAATGAAGAGAAACCTGGCCTTAAGAGCAAAGTGTGCAGAGCAAGCTAAAGGAAACCCCAAGAGACATGCAACTGACATGTAAATTTCATAGAGGCAGTCCACCTGACGGTCTGACTTGAGCACACGAAATGAAAAATGAAGAAAAATGAACGCAAAGAAGGAAAAAGATGACAGCAGCATGCAAGATGACTGAACAACTTCAGAGAATGATGAATTAAATCTGCAAATAGAACAGGGAGGAACAGAGGCCCTGGATTTTTTGTGGTCTACCCAGATTAGAAAGTTTATGGGGAAAGATTCTATGGGGGTGCAGAAGCTAGTACATTTGCCTGTCAGCTTAAGGTTAAGTGCTTGAATCTTTATTGAGTGGGAGATTTGTATCATTAGACTAGGGCTGTCAATGTCACCCAATGGCAATCTAAAATGGAAACAAGATGCAAGTCATGGGGGTACAAACACAAATCTCACCTCATCATCTTTGGCTGCGTTTTTTTTTTTTTGCAATCATTCCCACGAGTTGTCCTGTGTTCTAGGGGTATCAGGTGTTGCTTGGTTTTGAACATTTTAAGCACATTTAACACCGCTGACTGCCACCGCCAGTGAGCGTAAAAATACACAAGCATAAGTGATTCGATGCTCACAAACTGTTGCACCTTTAGCGCTTCCCCCACAGTACTTCTTCCTTGTGCACAGGCGCCTGTGGCACCTGAGCTACTCACTTTTATCTGGGTCACAATGTGTTGACTGTGTTGAACAAACCCAAGACAATTTTCGGCACTGTGTTTATAGGCAGTGAAGAAAGGCATTTCATAACATTCCTAGGACAGCGTGTTGTAACACATATGATTGTAAATTTGTAGCAAATCATTTAGGAAATTATCTGAGAGTCTATGACAATGTTGGATTGCAACAAGGTGCAAAAGGAGAGTTGAAGAAAGAACACATTGTATGTAAATTTGTGTTTCTTCATATGCTTACAGAGGTTTCTGCCTTGAGATTATTTTGATAAGATAAATGGAAAATTGCATGTTCCATGACCCTGCATGACCTCTGATCTGCAATCTATCTTACTAACATGCTTGTCTTTACATCATTAATCAATTTCAATAAAGAGTATGCCAGATAAGCACTCTATTTAAGTATTTATTAAAAGTTTTAGGTTAAAGTCAATAGAATCTACATCCTTGCACTGGGTGTTTGTTGCTTGCATCATGTTGAACATGTCACTGTACATAATGAAATGCAGTCTACCTTGTTGTGACAGACAGTTAAACTGTACTTACTGCTTGCAGATTTTTAAAATTTAATCAGCTGAGTGGCATTGAAAATTATGTGGATGCTTGACTAAATTTTAACAAGAAAAGAATGGATAGCTTTAGTTAACTTCAAATTAGTAAACCTATTTGAGAAAGTATATAATTTTAAACTTCAGATCATTGAGAATTAGATGCAGAATTTCCAGCTACAAATATAATAATATTCATTGAACATAAAGTGTACAATGTCTAACATTTAGCAAATTGTGTATCACTGATAATTAGAAAAAGAATTATGTTGAGTTTTACCTTCTGTGTATTGCTTTAGCTTTTTACAGATTTCATTTTCGTTATTATTTTTCGTTACTATAATTATTTATTTTAAATATGCAGTTGCCAGATAACTAGAAGATATCGCAGCCTTTGTTATGTATTACTGGTTGACAAGTATGAAAGCTAATTATAATTAGTAAATGCTGATAATTGAAAGAATTGGCCAGCTACTGGGCCGTGATGAATCACTTTAATAATTACACCCATTATCTCTCCGTGTGGGTTGTGGACTCCATTTAGGGGTGTGGGGTGGGGGGGGGGGGGGAGAATAAACCCACTGTCCCCAACAAGCATGTCACAAAAGTCTTCTAATTAATGGTGTTTCCTTTCCTGAGAGGCAAGGAACCAACAGTCTGCTTGCTTACACATAAGCTGGATCTGTGAAAGGGATATGTATACTTCCTTCTTCTTTGTGTTCGGTTTCGTATGCTCAGATCAGACCGTCAGGTGGGTTGCCTCTATGAACTAGCATGTCAGTAGCAGGTTCTTCATGGTTCCCCATAGCTTGCTCTGCACACTTTTCTCTTGAGGCCAGGGGATAATTAGAGCATGCATAAGTGCTTCACGAAGTACAGCCCTGGTGTTTCCTTGTTGTGTAAAGTGGGTCAGGCTTCACCAAGTATAGCCCTGGTGTTCCCTTGTTGTGTAAAGTCAATCAGGCTTCACCAAGTACAGCCCTGGTGTTCCCTTGTTGTGTAAAGTCAGTCAGGCTTCACCAAGAATAGCCCAGGTGTTCCCTTGTTGTGTTAAGTCAGCCAGGCTTCACCAGGTATAGCCCTGGTGTTCTCTTGTTGTGTAAAGTCAGTCAGGCTTCACCAAGTATAGCCCTGGTGTTCCCTTGTTGTGTAAAGTCAGTCAGGCTTCACCAAGTATAGCCCTGGTGTTCTCTTGTTGTGTAAAGTCAGTCAGGCTTCACCAAGTTTAGCCCTGGTGTTCTCTTGTTGTGTAAAGTCAGTCAGGCTTCACCTAGTATAGCCCTGGTGTTCCCTCGTTGTGTAAAGTCAGTCAGGCTTCACCAAGTATAGCCCTGGTGTTCACTCGTTGTGTAAAGTCAGTCAGGCTTCACCAAGTATAGCCCTGGTGTTCCCTTGTTGTGTAAAGTCAGTCAGGCTTCACCAAGTATAGCCCTGGTGTTCTCTTGTTGTGTAAAGTCAGTCAGGCTTCACCAAGTATAGCCCTGGTGTTCCCTCATTGTGTAAAGTCAGTCAGGCTTCACCAAGTATAGCCCTGGTGTTCTCTTGTTGTGTAAAGTCAGTCAGGCTTCACCAAGTATAGCCCTGGTGTTCCCTCGTTGTGTAAAGTCAGTCAGGCTTCACCAAGTATAGCCCTGGTGTTCCCTTGTTGTGTAAAGTCAATCAGGCTTCACCAAGTACAGCCCTGGTGTTCCCTTGTTGTGTAAAGTCAGTCAAACTTCACCAAGAATAGCCCAGGTGTTACCTTGTTGTGTTAAGTCAGCCAGGCTTCACCAGGTATAGCCCTGGTGTTCTCTTGTTGTGTAAAGTCAGTCAGGCTTCACCAAGGATAGCCCTGGTGTTCCCTTGTTGTGTAAAGTCAGTCAGGCTTCACCAAGTATAGCCCTGGTGTTCTCTTGTTGTGTAAAGTCAGTCAGGCTTCACCAAGTTTAGCCCTGGTGTTCTCTTGTTGTGTAAAGTCAGTCAGGCTTCACCTAGTATAGCCCTGGTGTTCCCTCATTGTGTAAAGTCAGTCAGGCTTCGCCAAGTATAGCCCTGGTGTTCACTCGTTGTGTAAAGTCAGTCAGGCTTCACCAAGTATAGCCCTGGTGTTCCCTTGTTGTGTAAAGTCAGTCAGGCTTCACCAAGTATAGCCCTGGTGTTCCCTTGTTGTGTAAAGTCAATCAGGCTTCACCAAGTATAGCCCTGGTGTTCTCTTGTTGTGTAAAGTCAGTCAGGCTTCACCAAGTATAGCCCTGGTGTTCCCTCGTTGTGTAAAGTCAGTCAGGCTTCACCAAGTATAGCCCTGGTGTTCCCTTGTTGTGTAAAGTCAGTCAGGCTTCACCAAGTATAGCCCTGGTGTTCTCTTGTTGTGTAAAGTCAGTCAGGCTTCACCAAGTATAGCCCTGGTGTTCTCTTGTTGTGTAAAGTCAGTCAGGCTTCACCAAGAATAGCCCTGGTGTTCCCTTGTTGTATAAAGGCAGTCAGGCTTCACCAAGTACAGCTCTGGTGTTTCCTTGTTGTGTAAAGTCAATCAGGTTTCAGTGCCGCCCTAGTATTCATTCCCTTGTTGTGTAAAGTCAATCAGGCTTCAGTGCCGCCCTAGTATTCATTCCCTTGTTGTGTAAAGTCAATCAGGCTTCAGTGCCGCCCTAGTATTCATTCCCTTGTTGTGTAAAGTCAATCAGGCTTCAGTGCCGCCCTAGTATTCATTCCCTTGTTGTGTAAAGTCAATCAGGCTTCAGTGCCGCCCTAGTATTCATTCCCTTGTTTGTGTAAAGTCAATCAGGCTTCAGTGCCGCCCTAGTATTCATTCCCTTGTTGTGTAAAGTCAATCAGGCTTCAGTGCCGCCCTAGTATTCATTCCCTTGTTGTGTAAAGTCAATCAGGCTTCAGTGCCGCCCTAGTATTCATTCCCTTGTTGTGTAAAGTCAATCAGGCTTCAGTGCCGCCCTAGTATTCATTCCCTTGTTGTGTAAAGTCAATCAGGCTTCAGTGCCGCCCTAGTATTCATTCCCTTGTTGTGTAAAGTCAATCAGGCTTCAGTGCCGCCCTAGTATTCATTCCCTTGTTGTGTAAAGTTGGTAAGGATATGCTTAGGGTGTTGTTGCTTAAAAACTACCTTTAGTATGGGACCAGAACTTAATTTTTTGTCTTTTAGAAGGAAACGAGCAAAGGTATGTGAACGTCCCATTATCTCATCCACAGTTACCGGAGTGACAGACCATGGCATGTACGAAGGCAGGACAATGACTGGTCGAGAGGGTTACTTCCCAGGTGGTCATTTATCTGAAGTCAACATTCGCAGAGGTCAGAAATTGTTTATTCATTCTTGTTCAGATTTATTCTACTCATGTGTCATTTTCTTCACATGTTACTGCCCCTTATCCTAGCATGTTGTTACAGCTTTTAAAACATATTGTATTGTTTATTTAAATGGGTTAATTTAATTTAATTTTCTATTTTTTTTTCAAACAGCTGGCTCAATGGGAGATGTCAACATGGTCACAAGGGCAACTACTCAACGCAACACCCTGGCACCTCTAGTCAACGTGAAAAGGTTAGTTGTGTCCCTTCTATTCGGTGCAAAACGTTTTCGTTGTTTTCTATTGTATCTATCCCTATCTATCTACTTTTACCCAACCAGGACATCACACAAGCGATAAACACCCAATGATACAAAGTGCCACTATGTGGATGAGAATTACCGTGGAGAGATCCCAGAAACTGCGTTCAGCCATTAGACCATATTTATGGCCGAGCTATATTGCAGCCCCTGGCAAGAGCTAGAGTAGGGCTTCAAATATCGAAAAATTGCACCTCACAAGGGGATGACAAGATATGTACTATAATTCTCTTCTGTATATCCAGCAGTGGTAGTCATGGTAGCGCAGTAGTTAGCTCGCTGGCCCGCCAGCCGAATGGTTATAAGTTTTTATCCCATCAGAATGAAAATTGACTTGGAGTTCAAGGTCCACTCAGTCTCAAATGGATTCCAGGAATATAGACTGGCTGAGATAGATGCTGAGCAAATAACGATTAAGGGCTCTAGTTTTTGCACAGATAATCTTAATCTAAAGGTAAAGATAAAGTCGGGAGATGTGAACAAGCACACGGTTATAAACCATAAGTGCTCTGCCACCAGTACCGATCTATCAACAAGGTCATACTACAGCAAAACAGCCTGATGTGTTTGACTTTGTTATACCTTGCCTTTATGTCTTAGTCCCTGTCAGTGTTGCCACTTTTCTTTGACAAAAAAAACTGACAAAACGGAGTCAAAAATATCTAAAAACATCTAAATTTGCGTGGAAAACATCTAGGAAAAAACATCAAAATAAAAGAGTCACAAATTACAAAGCAATGACTTACCCTATAGAATCATGTCCTCATCTTTACTGAAGTCTGCCTTACAAGATCCACCGGATAAACTTAGCTTAGATGATGAAGTTGAAGCTTCAGATCCAAAATGACTCTGGTATGCTTTAGCTGCCACAATTTCTTTTCATACCAAATCAGGGAGCTGATTAGTGGAACAACCATTTCCTTCTCTTATCAGGCCGCTGAATTTTATTGTCAAGATAGCATTTAAGAGGTCAAATTTCATCCTGTTTCTTATGTTCGTTATGATAAATTCACTCCAAATTAAAAAAAAAAACATCTAGAAAACATCTACCATCCAAACGTCAAAAACACCATCTAAATACAATGGAAAAACATTTAAATTTGGATGTAAAACATCCAAAGTGGCAACACTGGTCCCTGTGATATATAGCAAACCGATGGGGAGTGGGGGGGGTGGGAGGGTCTTTTCTATTAATAAAAACAAACTAATTTCTAGGATTCAAAGCCATATGTGAAAACATGCTCTGTGTAACTTGAATGAATTGTGTGTGTGTGTGTGTGTGTGTATAGGTATGTGAGAGAAGGAGAGAGAGCACAACATGCTTTGTGGATAAAAACACAATTGTGTTGTGAAAGAGGAGTTCGGAGGGAGGAGGATATTTGCGTTCTTTAGATCTGTACTGTGATGATTATCCTCACTAAAGAGGGGTGTTTTGAAGGGTCAGTGTAAGGCGGGCTTGTCTACTGTGTGAATGTTTGTTTACCCAATTAGTCGTTCGCTGTCTCTTGCTCTCTCTATCTCTCTCTCTCTCTGTCCCCCTCTCTTTCCCTCCCTGCATTTCTGTGTAGTGTGGTGTCTGTATTAATGCAGCTGAACGCGCGCACACCTACACAGACTCACTCACCTACACACACTCACTCACCTACACACACACACACACACCTACACTCACTCACCTACACACACACACTCACCTACACACACTCACTCACCTACACACACTCACTCACACATAACTTGATGTGGCTGATGCAGGCACAATCTACTTTTTATTTCTCCCTACCCGCCCATCTCTACATCCCCCGTTCTCAGGGATAACACTAATCCTCAACTACAGACCCTCCCCACTCTAATCCTCAACTTCGGACCTTTCCCACTCTAATCCCAATCCGGAAAATATCGTCAGGCGACTTAATCCATTTCCTGAAGTTTTTGCAATTCTCTCTGAAAACAATAAAATAATTCCCCTCGTTGGTCACGCATGGACCAGTTGGAAAGTACAGAATAATTAAATAGCCAATTGTTGGCACATTCATATACTGTCGGTGACAGACACGAATCTATGTGTAATAGTTTGTAAAAATCTGTGACTAAGTCTTGCTTTCAGCTTTGAGAGAGAGAAGAGAGAGAGAGAGAGAGAGAGAGAGAGAGAGAGAGAGAGAGAGAGAGAGAGAGAGAGAGAGAGAGAGAGAACATAATAGAGCGAACAATTTTGGTTGTTAGACGATCAACTGTATCCAGGAGAAAGTACGATAGTGTGAATTGGATTCACTGTTACTTGAGCTGTACCGAGCAACTACCGCCAACTTCAGTTACTGAAATTAGTGGAGCTGACCATAAATTAGTCCGCGTTACACTGTTTACATACATCGTCCAGGAACGTTCGTTGATCTCTTCTGACTATTTCTAGCTTGAATGTGTCTTTAGTAACATAGATTTGTCATCAGTAACATAGATTTGTTGAACTGCACACGGGTGGAAGGAATGAGGAGATAAAGGGGGAGAATGTCGCGATAAAGGGCAACAATAGAAAACATTGAGGCAGTACAAGAAGAGGAAGAAGAAGAAGTATGGGAAAAATAACATAAACGATGAAAAAGAAAGAAAGAATGAAAAAAGAAAGAAAGAAAGAAAAAGAAAGAAAGAAAGAAAGAAAGAAAGAAAGAAAGAAAGAAAGAAAGAAAGAAAGAAAGAAAGAAAGAAAGAAAGAAAGAAAGAAAGAAAGAAAGAAAGAAAGAAAGAAAGAAAGAAAGAAAGAAAGAAAGACGAATGCAAAGTGTAAGGAAAAAATCCGTATGTCCTTATTCTCAAACCCCAGTCTACCAAGACTAAAGAATGTGCACTCTGACACTTTAATACATAATGATTTCTGAAACATGGCGCACCCTGACAAACCTACCCCTATCTATACCACTATAGCCACGCCACTGCGGCTACAACCACGAAAGGTACGCCTTTGGCCTCTTACACCTACATAAACACAATGTCAAGTATACTTTTGACGTTTGGGTGACCTGACCTCTGACCTGTAGAGTCAGTAAAAGTGTCTGGAGTGTTGCCAGATTTTTCTGTGGTTGTTGCTGGAACAGTCACCGACCTGAATATTTTTTTTATCTATGGTATTATTGTTATTCTAGTATTTTCTTTATTGTTGCTTTAACTCTCAAACTCCCTTGGCTACTTTACAAAGTGTTTAAGCAGACTGTCTTTTTGGGCTGTGTAGAGCCAGTCATCATGTGAAAAAGCGGATTATGGCCAGACAGCTCATACGTGAGATTCAATCATAAAATGAATGAACGAACCAGCCAAGAATCGTCACCACTGCTCTCAATACATTCCAACACGGACTCCTTCTCCGTCTTCAGTAGCCAGCAAAGAGTTGACATTCCAATAGTATCACTTACAACCTGATTAAAGGTCTGCCTCCATTTCCCCCCGAGTGTTAGGTATCTTCCAGAACGTCTTAAAAAAAAACCCGTTGATTTAGTCTTTCAGTGTATAGATTCTTTACCTGCTCTATTGCACTGTCCATTTGATCTCAGGAGCCTTCACCGCTTCCGATTTATCATAAAATAGCTCAATCCTTAGGGGAGCGGCAGCAACCAGTCTATCAGCCTGCTTATTACCCATGTGAAAGCTGCAGAGCTGGGGCTTTCTAGACGAATGACGAGAACGCCTTGGACAGATACTTCGTCTTCTTTGAGCATGTCACGAGAAGAAGAAAACTGGAGTCCGTCCAGGCAACTGGAAAGTTTGAGGCGACTAGAAGGAGGGGGAGACAAAAAAGACGTTGGACAGTTGATCACCATGACATGAAAGAGCATCTGTATCAACAATGATTGGCAGAAAACAGGAGAGGCTACGAGGCTGTGGACTCACTCTGTGATCGACGCCACGCGTGCACTTTAAAGAAAACAATAAACAAATATACAAGAACTGATTAGCACTCATAGAAAAAAGTAGAAAGATAAAAGGACACGCTAGACAACATAAAAGTCAAATGTTATTGTTACCAAGCCGGAAATCGAACCTGTCACCTCCATAGCCGCTGAAACTTTTCTAAAGAACTTTAAAAAAAATGTGAAGCAAGTGAAGCATCGGGCAAATGAGGCTAGACTAGTTTTTTTTAGTAGACCTCGATGGGTGATATTTTCAACATCATACCGGCCACATTTATTTCCCAAGACTTTACCCGGTATCTATTTCAGGCCGGGTCGACCTGGAAGCCAAGATCATTCATGCTTGAAAAATTTCCGGCACCATGAGGATTTGATCTCGCGACCTTCGGATCCACAGGTGATCGTCTAGCCGCTACACCACGGCGGCTATCACGGCTGCAATATAGAACATACTGCTAGCACTCACATGTCTTCTTCTTCTTCTTCTTCTTCTTCTTCTTCTTCTTCTTCTTCTTCTTCTTCTTCTCTTCCACCATTTACCTCAGCGATGTGTTGGGGGAGATGTAAGGATCGTTTGTGCCCTTTTTCCGACGCATTGTACAAATTGGTGTTCATTGCTGTTGTTGCTCTTGATGTTGTCTCTCCATCTCTTGCGTGGTATAAATGCACTCAAATGAAACTGTGTTATAGGATTAAACCCTGTTTTTAGTAGGTGTTTCTGTTTGATTCTCGTCCTTGAGGTGTTATTCCTAAGGACGGCAATCAGTGACTGCCCAAAACAACCTCCTTTGTGGAAAACGTTTCGGTGCTGTCCTAGCACCCACTGGATCTGGGCCAAAGGTCACATAATACACAATAAATCTGATTGGCAGTATTATCTGGTGACCTCCACACGATGACCGTCCTTCACTTAATGAGTCATTGTGTTTTCAAATAGAACAGAAAGCACGTTTGTTGTTGCTGTTGTTATTATTGCTGTTGATATGGAATCCTGTAGATTCTTGTCCATATTTAGACAGCCTACAAATTTAGCAC